TGCTGCATGTTTAGCAGGAAACATAAACAGAAAATGGATCAAAGAAAAAAGGACAGAATAAAGTTCCAGCTTCAAAATGACTTCAAATAAATCAAGAAGCTTTATATAGGTTTGCGAATCGATACGATTTATATTTGGGCTAGAAGTGGTGATAAACAAACCTTGCTCTTATCTCAAATCACTTATTGTAGATTTTCCACACATATAAAAAACAAAACAAAAGAAAAAACCCTCAACAAACATCATCCAGTAGTCAGTATCCAAGCTGGGAGTGGCAATTCCTGCCTAATCCAGCACTCAGAGGCTGGGACAGAGTTGAAGGCTAGCATGAGCTACAAAGTGTGTTCAAGGCTAGCAGAGGCTACATAGTATCCTGTCTAAAAAAAAAAAAAAAAAATCTATCTATCTAAATTATATTTTCTCTTATTTTAAAGATTTATTTATTTTTATGTGCATGAATGTTTTGCCTGCATGCATGTTCAGGAACCATCATACCTGATTCCCACAGAGGCCAAAAGAGGTTGTCAAATCCCCTGGAACTGGAGTTATGGATGCTTGTTAGCTGCTTTGTGGGTGTTCGGAACTGAACCCAGGTCCTCTGCAAGAGCAGCCAGTGTTCTTAATGGCTGAGTCATCTCACCAGCTCCTAAATCATATTTTCAACTCAGAAGTATGTTTTTAAAAGTCTGTTCATGGTTGTAGCTTATTTACAACATGAAGTGCATTTATATATAAAATCTGAAATACAACCTCACTTTTCATTCTGGAAACATTTCGTGAGTTCCATCTTAATGTCATGCAATGCCTAGCACAGTAAAATGCAAGGACACAGACACTGTCAGTAGCTGTGGGGCAGCAGAGGAGAATCAGATCACTGTTTTTTCAGTCATCTTTTCATCAGTGTGACAAATATCTGAGATAAATCAGCTTAAAGAGAGGAAAGAGAGGCACTGTTTGGAGGGAGAAAGAGAAACATCAAGAGAAGAGGAGGGATATGGAAGAGGGCAGCGGGAGAGGTGGACAAATCAGAGCAGAGTATAGGTACGTGCTTGAATATGTCATAATGCAACCCATTACTGTTACTTTATATGCTAACTTAAAAATTAAGAAAGGTTATTTTGGCTCACAGTTTCAGTGGCTTTGTTCATTGTTACCTGGCCCCATTGGTTTGGGCCTTGGCAGCACACCACATCGTACTGGGAGCAAGTAACAGAGAAAGTAAGTTTACCCCATTGCTACGGGGAAGCAAAGACAAAGAGGAAGGTCCAGGGTCCCAGCATCCCCTCAAGGGCACACACCAATGACCTAACCTCCTTCAACTTGCTTACCCCACCCTCTGGTACTAGGAATTGAACCCAGGGCCTTACACATGCTAGGCAAGAACTTAACATGTAGTTACATCTCCAGCCAAGGCCCCACCCTCTTGAAGGTTATACCATCTCCCAATGGCACCACAGGCTGGCCACCAAACCCTTATCACACTTGCAAACCACAACAGCCCCCAATCCATCCAGTCAGAGATGGTGACTCATTCATGGGCTTACTTGGTTTAAGACTTACTTTCCAAGTTACTTACATAGGAATGCGAGAGAGGAATCAAGTGTACTACTTACTGTCTCTTGCATGCATTTCTCACAGGGAGTAAGTCTGGCCACCCCACACAGACACTAAGGAATCATGTGCAAAGACAATAATTGACGTGTCCATGGGAAGTGGCAGCCAAGCCTGCTGCCAACGGAGCATGAGGACTTCCTGTCTGTACTGGTCCTCTTAGGAAATGAGGGATTCTTAAATTCCACAGTCTAATGATGTTTTTCCTAACACAAATAATCATGTGCATGGGGTAAAATAATCCAAAAGTCAAGTCTCACCCGCATCCTTAATTCTCACCGTTTGCTTGCAACGTTTACAGAAACATCAGTTCCATGAGTGACACATTAGAGACCTTCAGTGATGTGGTCCTTTAGGAGAGTCAACATGCCTATGCGAAGGAACCCTTTACCATGGATGGATACTGATTCTGTCTAATGGGAGAGATGAAGCTTCAGTAGCTTGGCTTTGGGTCATTGGCATACTTCTGGCCTTCTCAGAATGGCCAAGTTGTTCCTAGTTTCCAACCTTAGCTCACCTGAACAGAGTCCCACATCCAAGCTGGGGTGGGGGAGCTGGTGTGTTGGCCTTGATTAGGAATCAGGTGTGTTCATGTTCATTTTCCTAGAACCTGGCACCAGACACAAGGAATGCTCAGGTATATCTCTGATGAGTGAGCTGCTGAGTAAATGGCCTCAGAGTGCCCACCATGCAGAGAAATCAGGATGGATCACAGCTTATTCTTTTTGATGGCCATTAAGTGAGATCAGGGGACCCTGTTGCACTTTTCCAGGGATAGATGAGAAACAAGGCAGTGACCAGAGTCTGTTGGAAGGATCAAATGCCTGCTGGTCATTCAGCTCCTGTGACTGTGCTGTCCTCCTGGGTCCCACAACAGAGTGGGGCTCCAGAAGCCCCTACATTGGACACATAATCCATCACCCTTATGCTGTCTTGGGCATAGGCAGCAGCTTATAATGAGCAGACCAACTGGAGAGTGAGGGCAGGCTTATGCAGTGACACTGGCAACAAACCAGGCTGTGAACCCGGTACTGTCACAGCCACCCTCAGAACTGCGTGCTAATATGGAGGCTATTCCCCAGAGCCCAGCAATGACCAGGGGCTGGGATGCCCAACTCATCCCACTGGGCATCTCTGTACTGGCTTCTGGAAGCACATTTCCCCACCTACTCAGGCTCAGGAAATGTGTCCTGGTGGCACAGCAGCTGGGGGCTCTGGCTATCTGAGGGTAGGTGGGGCCCAGCCTGGTAGGACAGATGGAGTCATCCCTGGGAACACAGAGCCTGAGGAATCAACACTCTACTGTGTTTTGTAACAGGGTGTTTAACGGATTTTGAAATACTGCCTTACATGTTTTGTATCAGGTAGAACTTTCTTGTTCAGTCAGTGATGTATGTGGGGAAATTGACAAAAGCCATCAGTGGGTGTTATGAGCAAAACATCTCCTTTCATAGCTTTATGTTCTGTGGGAGTCTCTACCAGTGGTGATTATAAATTACCCAGGACTTGGTACTGAAGCTTTAAAGTGCTTACCTAAAATTGATTTTTAGCTCTTTGCAGGAATTCTTTTTTGTCATTGCTATTTTGAGACACCATCTTGCCAGGTAGCTCTGGCTAACCTGTAATTCACTGTGTAGCACAGGCTGGCCTCAAATTTGCATTGACTTTCTTGCCTCCCAAGTACTGGGATTACAGGTGTGTGCCTCCACATCCAGCTTTTTTGCAGGATTTCTAACAAGCCTAGTCTATAGATGTTTCATAGACAATTCATGGTGGTGAGACAGGCAGAGGTACTTCTTCCTAAACATTTTGTCCTGAGTACCAAGGAGGCTTTAAGGTCCATGCCCACCCTTCCTGTGAGTGCCGTGTTCTCCTCCCTCAGATACTGCAGAAATGGAGGCTCAGTGAAGGGAGGGAAATCTTACCTTTGACCCTTGGGTACCTCACTTCCTGCCTTCTCTGTGATAGCTATTCTAGCTTCCCAGGACAAGCCTGGAGTCCCAGTCTCTGGCCAGCAGCCTCCAAGAGACCTTGAGCCCCTCAACCTTCCATCTTCTCTAGCAAGTCCATGCCAACTCCTCCAGGCAGCCTATCCTGTTCAAAATGACGTTACTCTTGGTGGGAGCCCCAGACTGGGGCCCAACCTTCTTGACAGTAGAGGCTTGGGCCTCAGCACTGGACTGAACTCCAGCTTCAAGCATTGTTGAATCAGAGTGGGCTAGCCTAGCAAAACCAAAGAAGACACTCTTATACTGCTATTGAGTCTCACATAGGTTCCTGCAATTTGAAAAGAACATTCATACCTAACAATTATAGTGCTTTGTGCTGGGCACTGGTATGGGTGCTTTCTATGCACTGTGGGCATAGTGATCCTTAGAATGCAGGATGATGAACCCATTCTATAGACAAATTGAGGTCCCAGAGGCTAACTGCCTATCCTGAGCCCTGTACTGCTAGATGTGGGGCCGAGTTTCAGGAAGCCTGGCTCCTGGATCCCTGTTCTTGTCTGTCATTTATCTTGCCTCTCAAACTTTTTGGCTTGATTATGAAGGCAAGTCCTACCTCTTGGAAGAGATTTACAAAATCCTCAGAGTATTTTAAAAATTGTGAGTTAGCAATGATGTCACCACCCAGGAATTGCTGCTGCTAGTATTTTCCTGTTTTCCTTTCTAGATCTTTCTCTGTGCATATTTTGATATCATGGCTGCCAAAACTTCCAATACATGAATTGTGATCATTTATTTATTCATGCCCTCACTATAAGGCAAGTTCTGGTACTAGTTTGACTAAACAGTTTATTCCCTCGTCATTCAGACTTTTCTTATTCATGTATTTCCTTCTTTGGAACAAGGCTTGCTTGTCAATTTTTTGGCAATTTCACAAAGTCTGTTGTTTTTAGTAGAATAACTTCAAAATCTGTCAGTGTGGTGCTTTCCCCTCCATACACAATAAGCTGTCAGTTTTCAAATTGTGGCCACTAAAGTAAAAATGTCCCCTTGGGGTGTGCTGTCCAGAGCATCCACCGCGACCCAGACAGTCTTGCAAAAGGAAGCCAATAGTTCCTATAGGAGTCTAAAGTCAGAGTGCCACTCTTAAAAAATTAATTTTGTATTTATTTGTTCGTTATTGGTGCACATGCATACGCATGCATCTGTCTGTCTGTCTGTCCTGACTGACTCTGCCTCCCCATCTTCCTGCAGGAACACTGACATTACAAGTGAAAGCTACTACCCCCAGCTTTTTTTTTTTATTGAAAAAACAAACAAACAAACAAAAAAAACATGGATTGCTGAAATCAAACTCAGTTGTTAAGCTTTTACAGCAAGTGCTTTTACCCAGCGAGCCATCTTGCTTTTAAAGTAAATACTAATGACATTTCTTCCTGGTAGGTGAAATGGCTCCAACAACAAGAAGTGAAACGCAGGGTGAAGAGACAAGTGCGAAGCGACTCTCAGGCCCTTTATTTCAACGATCCCATTTGGTCTAGCATGTGGTACATGGTGAGTCGGGTAAGGGTCTCTGTCTTTCCAGAGATGTTAGCACACTGTGCCTCTGAAGTGGGTTCATCTTCCCCACTGAATTACCAGGACAGCTCCAGACAAACCTGCTTCATCATGCGTATAAGTGCCCTGCTTCAAGGGAAGAATGCTTGTGCTGCTTTGTTCCAAAATTGTGGGACAGTCCAGGAAGAGCTCTGTGTGATTTGATTCAGGCTGTAGGGTAGGCTGAATGATGAAGACCTGTCCTTGGACAATGCCTCTGGCAAGAGTTAGTGACCAGGACAATGGTAGCCACATTATTGGGGCAGAAAAAGCCAGGAGCCTCTACACAGACTCTAATAGGGTAAAGAAAGAGGGTCTTGGCTGTGGTGGAAGCTACTGTTTCTTCCTCCTTGCTTGCCAGCATAGCTGCTCCCATCCAGGTGGCATCCTGTGCCCATTTGGTATGGGGAGTGTCTGGGTGGGCATGCTATGCCTGTTCAGTTTCAGAGTGTCTACCTTGGCATGTCTTCTGTGCTTACAGCATTGTGCCGACAAGACCAGTCGCTGCCGGTCAGAAATGAATGTCCAGGCAGCATGGAAGCGGGGCTACACGGGAAAAAATGTGGTGGTCACCATCCTCGACGATGGCATAGAGAGAAATCACCCAGACCTGGCCCCAAACTATGTAAGTCAAGCCTCAGAAGTGACGTGCAACAATATTCAACCACACCAATCATTAAATACACAAAATTGCCTTTCCGGGGGTACTGGGGACACTAACATTCTGATGGAGATGGAGTTTGCTGAGGGACCTGTCCACATGTTTGAGATATCACACATGCTTCTAGAAATGTGGCTTAGAGAACAAGAAGCATGTGTAGAGGTGGTCATCATATGCATATTGGCCTGTGAGTCATTGCAGGGTTTAAACATGAGTTCTGGACTCAGAGCTTGGTTTCCTGTCCTGGCTCCTAACTTGCCCAAGAACCTAGCCAAGCTGCTTCATTTCTCTGTGCTTCAATATTTCCATCTATTAAGCAGGGTTAATCAGAAGACTGTTTCTTACAGTTATTGTAAGGACATATAAGTATAAAGAAGAGCCTGGAACATAGTAAATATGATCAATTCATTAAATGTGCTAAGGTACATGGATGTCAAAAATGATCAAGAATGACCATGTAAGGCTGGAGAGATGGCTCAGCACTGGTTGCCTTCAATTCCCAGCACCCACATGGCAGCTAACAACTGTCCTAACTCCACTTCCAGGGGATCCAGTGCCCACTTCTAACATCCATAGGCATTGCACAACACAGGTGCGCTTACATATATGCAAGCAATACACTCATACACATAAAAAAAAATAAAATATTTTAAAGAGAATGTCCATGTTAATCTAGCTTTGTGATTTTTTTATTGTGAGTTCATTATAATAAAGTGATTTTTATATTAAAATCATAATTTACAAATTTAGTTTCACTTTTAGCATAAGATAGCTACGTTTGACCTAAAGTAGATTATAAATCATAAGTACGATAAAAATTCCAATGCTTCCCCCTCCCAAAGAAATGTTAAATGACAAAGACTGTTTTAAGGATAGAAAACTTTTATGACATTTTTTTCAAAGGAGGATAAAAAATTATGCATACTCTTATTATAAATATGTACAGAACTCTATGCATATTGAAATGTGAAATGAAGGGAATTCTGATACATATGACAGCCAGATGACTCTGAAGACTTCATGCTGAGAGAAGTTAGCTGTCACAGAGGACAAATATGTGGTGATTCCCATTCTGTGAGGAACTCCATAGTTGCCCTGATAGAGATAGGAAGTAGGATGGTGGCTCTGGGGCTTGGCGAATTAGTTCAGAGTTACTATTTAGTTGGTACAAAGTTTCAGTTTTGCAAAATAAAAAAGCCCTGAAGATGGGTAGTGGTGGTAATTGCACAAAAATGTGAGTGCCTTTAATGCCACCAACTGTACACTTCAAAATGGCTAAGATGATAGATTTTATGTCATGTATATTTTACCATAGTGAAAAGCATCTAAGACGACAGAGTTGCAGAAAGTCCATGTGAGATTCTCTTCATTTCCCAAGTGTGGCATAGAGGTAGTTTAAAGTAGGACTGTTGTGTACTGTGTCTCCTATTTTCGCTCATGAAGATCTAACTCCTAGGATTCCTATGCAAGCTATGATGTCAACGGAAACGACTATGACCCGTCTCCACGATATGACGCCAGTAATGAAAATAAGTACGTCCCTTCGCTGCCTCCCTGGCTTCTCTTCCTCTCCCTCAGCATCAGTGCTGGTTTCCACTGGAGGGGCCCTGCAGAGGTGATGGGCTCTGGGTGCTAGGATCTGGAAGTCACCTGGTACAGCCTTTCAGGCACAGGCAGCCTCTTTCTTTGTGTGTGTGTGTCAGGGGGTCTCACCTCTGCTGGTCAACTAGAAATGGGTACTAGAGAGGCATTGTTCCTGCTTCCAATCTCTTGGGACTGTTTTAAAGAGTCACCTTTGTCTTGGGGCCTCTGTGTGTTAAGACATCAGTCTGGTCTCCATGAACACATAAGTCATATGGCCTGAACCTTTGTGACTCCATCCTTGACCTTATGAGCAAGGCAAAAGGTCATAAGTGATGCTGGGAAAATAAGGGTTCAAATCCCAGCTCTACTGCCCACTATGTGACATTTGTGCACATTGAAGAACCTCTCTGAGATTGTCTTCATGTCTTAGAGGTGTTTCATGGAGATGATGTCCCCAGCCCAAAGCTTGTTGAGATGGTAAGTGAGGTGACAGATGAAGAACACCCACTGTGGAGATTGTTTGTGTTAGATTTAGGAGAGCAGAAAAAAGGAAGGAATTTAAAGTTAAGAAATAAGAATCAGAGCCAGACCTGCAACAGGCAAGGAATATGTTCCTTTATTCAGGAGAACATAGCAAAGGGCTGGTGCTGCCCTTGGAAACTAGGCATCAGCAAAAGAAAGGCAGAGCAATCTGGACTTATATAGGAACTCTGCTGAATGGTGTCAAGTGTCAGTGTCCTTGGGGTAATTGAGGGTTTTCTTCCTGAGGTAATTTTCTCAGGATGAGTAGGCAAGTTATCTTATGGCACTGCAAGAGTTAAGTTAGCCTGTAAACAGTCTCTGTCAGTCAAGGAAGTGACCAGTTGATCAGGCTTGGTCAAAGGCCAAGCAGCGAATTTGGGCCATTTGGCCACATTGAAAATTCATGTCTTTATAGCTTCCTTTAAGGAAGCTTATGACTCTCCTGCAATTTACACATTCTATTGGTTTGCACTGTCTAAGGCACCACCTCTAAGGTGACTTTGGAGAGGTCAGGTGACCTATGCAGGGTAAATGGCAGCCCTGGGCTTGCTCCTGGGAATTCTTTTGTGGTACCTACGTATCCTTTCTCTTTCTCAGTTAGTATGCCTGATACCCTGAGCTTTTACTATTCTTCCAAAAATATTTTGGGTACAGCAACAAAATCTCCTTATTCCTTCCCCATTGTTGACAAGGCACTGTGTATATCTTCCCAACATGTTTATGTTAGTTAGCTTTCCATCACTATAATGAAATTCCTGAGACAATCAACTTAGAAAAGATGAAGCCAGATGCAGTGGCATGCTCCTTTGGTCTTAGCTACCCAGGAGGAAGTCAAGATCTCTTGATGCCAGCATAGATAGCATAACAGGACCCCATATCTGAAAGAAGGGAGAAGGAAAGGAGAGAGAAAGAGAGAGAGAAAGAGAGAGAGACACACACAGAGAGACAGAGACAGAGGTTTATTTTGGCTTATAATTTTGGCGGTTTCAGTCCATGATCAGTTCGCCCTTTGCTTTGGGCCTGTAGTGAGGCAGCACACCATGGCGAGAGCACACAGTAGAGCAGAACAGCTCATCACATCATCCAGAAAGCCAAAAGAGAAAGAGGAAGTGGCTGGAGTCCAACAGTCCCCCTTAGGGACATATCTCCAATGACCTAAGGCCATTCCAACAAGGCTCCACCTGCCAAAAGTTCATAGCATCTCCCAGCAGTCTCATCCTGGAACCAAGCTTTGAACACATGAGCTTTCAGGAGACAATCATCATCTAAACTCCATCAAGGTATTTTAGCATGCAGGGGATTTGATCACACTCAGGGCTGTGCAAGGCCACTCATGGGTGCTATGTGCTTGCCAGACCACTGAGCTCCCAGAGCTACAGGACTGCTTTCTCTGCCTCATGTCCCAAGGTGCCCTTCCACTCAGCAGTTTGGAGGCCTGGGGCAAAGGGCCTGCTTCCTGGTCACACATCAGGGGGCAGGAAGGCATGATCCATAGTCCACTCAGTGACCCTTGAAGGTCAGGATCAAATCACAATGTGAATCATCTAGCTGTATGACCTGAGCCTGACATTGGCTAGGAGGCTGTGAGATTTTCCAAAGAATAACAGATGACTCCCTTCCGAAGGGCTAGCATGCAGACCCGAGACCATTTTTAAAGGCTGCTACACATTTGAATCAATAATTCTAATCTCCTGTAGATGCTCCTTACAGATGTGCTATGTAGACTGGCCCACGTTCTGGCCTCCTCTGGAGGAACTGACCCAACGTGGCACATGAGAAGATGGGATCATTCCTAAGGAGAGCAATTTGTAATTTCCTTTTCATTCCCTAGCTGCTTGAGTGGTCAGCTAAAAGTGTTCTTTCTCAGCTCCTGTTATATGGCTGAGGTAATGTCAGCAGCCTGTCCAGGCTAATATGGTGCTGTTACGACACAGGGGACAAGACATAAGCGCAGTTTGTTCTTCCTTTCTTCCTGTTGGTCAGGCAAGCATTGACCTGTATGTGCTAAGTGACATGTCTTTAGTCAGAGGAGACACAGAGCTGAGGCAGGTCTGAGAACAGCAGTGGCAGGAAGCAATAATAGGTGCTGAGAGGCTAGGGCCATGGGCACTGGGAGCAGATGCCCTGATTCACCCTGGGGAGCATCCTGGAAGAGATACCCTGGGAGCCAGCATTTGCATCAACAAGTGGCAGGGAGGGCTAAGCAAAACCTGGACAGCTGCCTGTCCTAGTGAGCCTAAAGAAATTGAGTTTCGGGGCTGGAGAGGTGGCTTAGTGGTTAAGAACACCGGTGCTTCTTGCAGAAGACCCAGGTTCAAATCCCACCACCCATATGACAGGTAGCAACTGTCCAGAACTCCAGTTCCAGGGGATCCAATGGCCTCTTCTGTCCTCTGTGGGCATTGCACGACATGGGTGCACTTACCTACATGCAGGCAATACACACATACACATAAAATATGAAAAATAAAAGTATTTAAAAAAAAAAAAGAAGAAGAAATTGAGTTTCACTGGCATCCCCGGTGTAAGGACAGCAGACACTGACTACAGGAAAACTGAGCAGTGCAAAGGATTCATTGAAGTTTCTGGGGCCTAATTTTGTTTTGATTTTTGTCTTTGTTTGCTTCAGACACGGCACTCGTTGTGCAGGAGAAGTGGCCGCTTCAGCCAACAACTCATACTGCATCGTGGGCATAGCATACAATGCAAAAATAGGAGGTAAGGCTGGAGGGAGCATACGCTGGGAGTGGAGTGACTGGGGGCCAGACAGCTCCTTTTTGTGGGGTTCAGCAACCTCATGCTCTTTGTCCCAGACAATGGCAGAACCCTGGGCCAGGGTTGGCCCAGTTGTTGGGGTCTGGAGATCAGAATTGCTAACTATCAAGGGCCCCATGAGAAGGGAGCCAACCCTTTAGCTCCCCTATGGCCCTGCCACCCTAGTGGCTGACTCACCTTGCCATCAACTGGACTCTTTTAACTGGCTGCCTTGGGGGCTCTCCTGGCCCCAGGTTGTCATGGTTCTCTGTAACTTCCCAGACATACTTGCCTCTCTGTTGGCTCAATCTCCAGTTGCTATGCAGCCATTTCCTGTTTCTGTTGGTGAAACACTGCTCACCAGTCATTCCCCCTGCCTCCATCTTATTTCTGGGGGAGTTGGTGTGTCCAGGGTCTAACCCCCACCCCCCCCAAAAAAACACACACACACACACTGCCTCTGGCTTTCTCATTTAGCTTCTCACTGCTAAATCAAGCTGTCCTTGCGAGCATGAGACTTTGGAGCAAAGGGTTTTATGTCTTCCTTGGCCCCATTGGAGCCCAGCAGTATGACAGCTCAGTTGCCAAAAATTCTGAAGTGCTCCATACATGTACAACCCTGAGCAGGGGGGCACAGAAGAGAGGGTGCCAGGGCAGCCTTGAGGACTGGCTCTGTTGAAGAGTACCTGCTGACTCAGATGGCTGCTGCTAGCCCTACTTAGGGAGGCGTGTATAACCCCCTCAGCTTCATCTACAAGGATTCAAGGTGCGGAGCCTGTGTCAGGGGTTTCCTGTGTCACCAGGCCCCTGAGAAATTTCTTGAGTTTTGATAAGTGGGTCTCAAGCCTTTACTAAATTAAGACTGCCTGCCTTTTCTTTTTTATTTTATTTATTATTTTAATTTTATGTGCATGAGTGTATTGCCTACATGTGTGTAAGTGCACCTGTGTTGTGCAATGCCTACAAAGGTCAGAAGAGGGCATCAAATCCCCTGCAACTGGAATTACGGACAGTTGTTAGCCTCCCTATGGGTGCTGGGAACTGAACTTGAGTCCCTCTGCAAGAACAGCCAGTGCTCTTAACCACTGAGCCATCTCTCTAGCCCTTGGCTGCCTTTTCCTGAGCCCCTTCAAGTGCCTGAGATTTGTCACTAGGTATCAGGTACAAGCCCATTCATACCAATCCACTGCCTGTGTGTTCTTGGACAATGTAGATTACCTCTGAGCCCAGATATGCTAGTATCATGGCTGTCTCCCAGGTTTGTTATGGCAATAAATTCAGATACCATATGTGCAAGCTTTGCCTCAGAGCTAAATCTTCAGGGAGCTGCTGAGTTCCCCTCTCTCTCCTGCAGCAACTCTTACAGAATTGCTCACGCTTTGAGTGAACATGTGGACTTTTCTGTCAGAGTTGTTTGAGCCTTGCTCCTCAAAGTCCTGACAGCAACAGCATTATTTGAGATCTGTTAGAACACAGTCTCCTTGCCCCTTTTCAGGCCCATCAGCCAGATCTGCACATTTCCTGAGGGGTTTGTCTAGAAATAGTAGTTTGAGAATGCTGGCCTAGAGGACTCTTGGGAGTCATGTGGTAGGGAAAGATTGTAGGGAGAAGTCAGTGGAAGTAATGCCCACAAAGAACTTCCCAGATGAGAGAGAAACAGAGAGAGAGACAGAGAGAACCTCTGTGTGCAGGGCTAGGTACAAGAATGCATTTATTTATTTATTTATTTATTTATTTATTTATTTATAGACAGGGTCTCATTATATAGGCCATGGGTGGTCTCGAGTTTGCTATATAGACCAGGATATCCCTCACAGTCACAGAAATCTGCCTGCCTCTGCCTCCTGTGACCTTATATTAAAGGCATGTACCACCACACCTGACCCAGGAATATTTTGGAATTAATACATTGAACATCTTTAAGCATGTACAGCATGTATAGCTCTGGGCAGCCACTGAGGTTGGGGAGAAGATGTCAGGTATAATTTGGAGCATCCAGGAGCTCAGCATGCCTTTGGGGTGAATGGTACTGACCTGGAAGACAGTAAGGGACAAAGCACTGGAATGAGACAGGCAAATGGGGAGCTCAAGAGGCAGAAGGAAGAGATGTGGATGGAGCTTGACCTGGGGGGTGGGGTGACTGCAAACAGGAGGAGTTCCAGGGGACAATGGAGTCTGCGGCATGGAGTTGGGAGGCACCTTGCTCCCTCAGGGGACAAGGGATGGTGTTGAGTGCAGGAAGACAGATGTGAGCTTGAGGCTGTCCTTGAGACAAGGAACTTGTGACAACCAGTGTCTCCAAAGCTATGAGGCCACCTTTCTGTCCCTCCCTTCTTCTGAAGCTCATCCTTGAGGAGTGTGTGCGTTGGAGGGGGGGGACCTGGAGCACCCTGACATTGAACAGCCATCTTCTCTGAGAGTTCTTACACAAGGCAGAGAATTTCTCTGTAGTACCTCTGAGCTGACCGTGGACTGTGTTTGTTTTTTATGTTCTTTGTGTCTGTTTTTGTTTTTCAGTTTTTCATTTGTTGCTCAAGAGAATATACTGCATACCCTCACTTCCCTCAGTTTATCTGGAATAAGTCGTATTCAACTTCATGTATGATGTGTGGATCTGAAACAGATTTCAGTTCACACTCTCATGCTTTGGACTGGTGGTTTTTCATATTTTACGTATGATTTAAATCCATAATGCATTTCTATTATTCTATTACCTTTTATTTCTTATTTTTGAGGCACAGTTTGATTTATACACACATACACACACACACACACACACACACACACACACACACACACACACACACATACACACACACACACACATATGGGCCCCTGACTTGCCCTCAAGTTTCTGTGTAGCCCAGGCTGACCTTGAACTCATGGCAGTCAGACCCGTGAGTGCTGAGACTACAGGTGTGCACAGTCTTACTCAATTGTTGTTATTATTCTTTCTTTAAACCCTCAAGCTAACTTATAGAGATAGGCATACCTCTCTATATGCGACACATCTTGCTCTTTCTGCTTTAGATTTCTATTTTTCTTCAACATGAAGATTTTGTTTGCTTGTTTTTGAGAAAGGCTCTCAGGCTAAACTGGCCTGGAACTCTGTGTGTAGACTAGGCTGACTTCAAACTCGCGGCGGTTATCCCAGCTCAGCTTCTCAAGTGTTGGGACTACAGGAGTGAGTCACTGTTTGCAAAGAATTTCTTTTATTTTTTTTTGAAGTTGAAGTATACTAGTGAAAAATTCTCGCATATTTTATTTGGAAGTGTCTTTAAATTGAGTGAGTGAGTGAGTGAGTGATTGATTGATTGATTGAATGAGGGGAGTGCACATGCCACACCATGAGTGTAGAGGTCAGAGGACAACTTGCAAGAGTCAGCTCTTTCCTTCTGCCATGTGGGTCCTAGGGATTGAACTCATGTCATTAGACTTGGCAGCAAGTGCCTTTCCCCACTGAGCTATCTTTCCAGTCCTGAAAGTGTGTTTACTGCATCTTCATTTTGGGAAGAAGTTGTACTGAACAGAATTCTAGCTTGATGCTTTTCTTTCAGTGCTTTGAAGATGTCAGTCTCTCAGCATCTCATGCCACCTATTGTTTCTGAGAGTCAGGTGTCATCCTCATCTGCCCCTTTGTGTAGTGGGAATTGTTCCCCTGCATACATGGGCGCGCGCGCGCACACACACACACACACACACACACACACACACACACACATTTAGAAAAAAAATGGCCAGTGTTTATTCAAGTACCTTTTAAATTCCATTTTTTCTTATCTCCAAGTGTCAGTTACAACTAATCGACTACTTCATACACATCACATATCCCTGGGGCACTGTTTATATTTTTAAAATCCCTTTTTCCTCTGATTGTTTCTAATTAGGTGATTAGTGTTATGCCATCTCTGGATGCACCTATGCTTCCGTTTAGTGTCTCCAAACTGTTCTTAATTCTGTGCAATTTATTTTTTCAGTCATTATACCTTTCTGTCTTCTGTTTCATTTTGCCCCTTTTTAAAAACAATCTCAGCGCTCAGGAAGCAGAGTCAGGTGGATCTCTGTGAGTTCAAGGCCAGCCTGGTCCACATAGTGAGTTCCAGGACAGCTGGGGCTACAGGGAGACCCTGTCTCAAAAAGACCGACCAAACAAACAAACAAACAAACAATCTCCGAATCTTCCTGAGACTCCCCATATCTCCTTCACTCTTTATCTTTGTCTTAGATTCCTTGACATGTTAGTAAGAGTTACTGCAGTCTTTGTACTAGTTCCAGTATAGAGGTCATTTGTATCTTCCTAATGATTGATTTGCAGTGGGTCACATATTTCTGCTACTTTGTACATGTCTAGTAATTCTTTATTGCATAGTAAATATTGTTTTTCTACCTGTAGAGTCTGAATTCCACTGATTTTTTTTTCTGAATGTTGTAAAATTTTGTTATAGCGATCGTTTAAACCTGAATTTTGAGTGACTTAGTTATCCATCATTTCATGGTGTCTTTCTGACTTGCCTTAGTTAGTCTTAGGGAAGATTCCTTTGGCCAGGTTGTCACTCTTACACCATGACTCTTTCCATATTTCAGTGGAAACCTAAAATCCTGGAGTGCAGAGTAGTTAGAATATCTGCTCAGCTCATTCAGGGGTTTAGCTATTGTTTTCCTCCCAGATTGTTTTTAAGAATATTACCCAAACACATGTAATTCAGGGATTGAGTGAAGTTTATGTCTTTCCCCACAGCTATCTCCTTTCTGAAATTCCCCCTCTTAATTTCTTAAAATCCATGCCCTGACCTGACTTCCAGTCTTCCGGGGGGAAAGGGAAGTAAGTCATGTAAACTTGAGCATACGCAAGCACACGTCCCTCCTTTTGACAATTAAATCTCTATCTGTCTCTGCCCTCTTCTGGTTGCTTTCTAATACCCTTGAAAATTCATGTATACTTTTTTCAGACTGTGTAATTATTG